TATTACCAAGACTTTATTCCCAAATCTATATCGATACTGCCAAAAACTCTTCTTGCCTACCGAACAACAGACACCGTGGAGCTTTCTCCAGCCGAGCTTCAGGATGCATGCAGGGGCTTCAGTTTTGAGGAGCTCAGTGAAGCGCAGGTTAAAGCAGTAGAGGAGGCAACCAGAAAACAGAGCTCCTCAACAATCTGGTTCAACCAAAGAGCAGGAAGAATAACTGCATCCAAGTTGAAACGGGTTGTGCAGGGAAGTCTACAAAGACCATCTAAGGCTCTGATAAAGTCAGTCTGCTACCCGGAAACACAAAAGTTTTCAACAGCAGCAACAAGGTATTTATTAGGGAAAGGTAAGGGAGGAATAATAATTTGTTTGCACGGCTACCAAGTTCTGTTTAACTTGAGGCAGGGCATGTTTCATTTGAAAAGGTTCATATTGCAAACTTTTATTTTTCGCCCTCACTATTTTACATTTCATATATGGCTGTAAATTTGAGGCAACTGCTCGAAAAAAATATGAGCAGCTTGAAGGCCAGTCCCATGAGGGATTTTCTTGTGTGGATAGTGGGCTGTGGCTAAATCCAAAGTGGCCCTACATGGGAGCTTCACCTGATGCACTTGTTTCTTGTGACTCCCACGGAACTGGGGTTTGTGAGATAAAGGTAAGACAAATGCAGACTTTTTGCTGTAGGGTTGGTCGATCTGGGAAAACATGTTTTAACTATGTCTGTCAAAGTTAACACTTTAATTCATGCAATTAATCACAATAAAATTATGCTTTAATCAGAGATTAATCTCAGAGCCTGGTGTCTCCCAAAGCTTCCCTGACCAGAGCAGGGACACAGTGCTCTGAGCACACCGGTCACATTCACACATTTCTTGTAATACAGCACCATTTCAATATTAAACTTTAAAAAACAAATGTTAACATATTAATGTATTAATCATGATTATGTTAACATTAGAGATCCAATCTTTAATGTTCATTATTTTTCAGTGTCCAGAGAGCAAACAGCATGAGGTCAGTCTGAAAATGTGCGCAGGCCAGCCAGGATTCTGTCTCATCAGGGAGAGAGATTTTGTACAGCTTGACAGGAATCATCCATATTATTATCAGGTTCAGGCTCAGCTTCACATTTTGGATGTAGAATACTGCGACTTCATAGTTTGGAATAAAAATGATATATATATCGAAAGGATACTGCCTGACATACAACTCTGGGATACTGTGATCCCTGTTGTTCAGCAGTATTTCACGCATTGCATACTCCCCAAAATATTAGGGCAGAAATTCACACGTGAATAACGAAACAATTGTTTGCGTTTTTCTTCTATTTCAGCTGGAGGCAGGGGCTAATATAACTCTTAGAAATAGCAGTTTTTATAAAAACATGTTGAAAAACATAATTACATTATTAGATTCACAAAGCCCTAAATTATTCTGACGTTTCTACTGGCCAACAGCATACATGTTTTTGAAATAGTTTTGCCAACACTAGACATTTAGAAAATAATTAGTTGATATGTTTCATGTACATATCACATCTAAACGAAGACTAAAAAAGTGAGACACTTTACAGTAATTAGCAAACTACCCTCCACCAAAAGGTGAATGTTGTCACATGAACGCAACATATATGTAAATAAAGTGGTTTGTTCTTACTCTTTAAATGTTTGTCTATCCTTCTGTTACTTCACTTAATAAATAGCACTTTAAATGTTTGTGTAAAAAATAAATGGTTTGAACGATGGATGTTTTCAGTGGTCTTTATTCATTTTCTTGAACATTAATTTTAATCACAGCTTATTTACAAGATTAAAGATGTTTGTTACATTTTTTTGGGAGTGTGAAAAAGATTAAATAGTAATAAATGAAAACCATAAATCTTCTCTTGCTACCCTGGTAAAGCAACACTGGAAGGGTTATCTGTCTCGTGGTGACAATTGCTTCCTGTGTGTTTAATACATTAAAATGCTCTACATTTTGATTAAACCACTCAACTATTTACATGCAATAACTTCTTTACTCCAGAGGGACAATAGACTGACAGATTGGTCAGCGCACAGCAAATTGCAGCGATTTTATCAACCAATGCCAGTGAGTCGCTTGTTTTGACAGCCATATGTTCAAGAGGCATTGCCCTACTCTGCAAAATTTGAAATTTTCTCGTAACTAAGCCAATTACCCTCTCAACATGAATTCGGACACTTGCCAGTTTTCTGGTTTCTTCAACATCATAGGCAGACAGCTGTTTCTTTCCTCTTGTGAACGCAGGGGTCTTCAAAGAAGCGCAGTACAAGCCTACACTATCGTTCACAGTGAAACCCCTATCAGCAAGCACGACATCTCCAGGCAACAACTTATTCAAGATGCCACACTTCTCTGTAAGTTGTTTGTCACTGGTCCTCCCTCCCCATGCCTGTGAAATAAAGGTAACGTAACCCTGAGGAGCAATGCCAATAAGAAATTTAATTGTATTGTGATGCTTATAATTGGACCAGGTTTGTGCTCTTGCCAAAAGATTTGTAGGCCTTTCTATGAATACTTCAAAACAGTCCACTATTACTGCAACTTTAAGTCCAAAAGCTTTTCTGAATGACATGGGCACGGTTGATTGTAACACTTCTCAATCAGGCCACTCTATCAGAAATTCTAGTATTTTGTGAATCAATTTATGCATAGTTTTGGACACAGTGCCTGTTGATACATTGAAACGATATGCAAGATCTTGGAGCTGAAGGTTTAATCTTAGACGCATTAATACCATTATAAATTGTTGAAATTTAGATAGTGCTGACATAGGTGACACAGTGATGTATGGTTCACAGAGCTGAAAAATTTGCATCAAAACCAAAAAATTGGGAAGTCCAGTGTAAAATTTAGTTTTGTCTGAAATGACTCTGGTGTGAATGTGAAGTCTGAAACGGTTTTCTTGAGGTTACAGATCTCAGATGTATCACATCTCATAGACTCCTCCATCCTTGTGATGTCAGCCATGGATAGAGACGTCTGGCATGCTGCATCTACACATTTTTGAAAAGAACAAATGACAATGAATAGCTAACCAGGAACTACTCATATCCATCACAGACAGACAGAGAGACAGACACATACACACACGGAGTACAAAATAATTGTATATACAGTTTCAGTTTGTGGCTTTCCACGTTGATACCCGAGGTTTAAAGTGGGGGCCCAGTCAGGTGATTTCACGTCAACAGGTGCACTCGGGCGCCCTGAAATATAAATAATAATGTGTATAAACGGGAATGTAAATAAGATCTTTCAACTAGTTTAGCGTTAAATAAACCATTAGCTTAGCAACATTAGCATTCGTGACTGAATATCATAGTCCTAGTCAACACAATTAATTAGATTAATGTCCATTCTTTATTCCAGGTCAATGTAAAGTGGCTAGCTAATTCATTAAATTACAACTTACCAGTTAGAAAGTGATTGCTGCATACTCTAGCATGGTCCGCTTCAGCTCCTTTAGATTTCAGCCGCAGATTCTTGAGCCATTGTTCTCGCCTCTTCTCCGTGATTTTCTTACAATTTTCTCCTCTATGAGACGCTACCTTTGGGACACAAAAAAACCCTTGTCCTTCTCACGATTCGAGCGGTTGCTGCAACCGTAGACAGCACAGCATTTCGGCATTTTGAGATCGAATCGAGGCAACTTTACATGTATTTCAATGGGCCGTTTTACTTCCTGACCCCAGGACAACTTTCGCGCCTTTGCCGTGACGTCACCCGAAACCCCAGCAATAGTCAACCCTGGTTTAGTCCTGATGTATCTCCTGTTTTGGCTGTTTACGAGTATTTTCAGTCTGCTCGCTCAGTCCGCAAAAGTCCCTGTGACCACTTTGCGGCTCTCTGATTGGTTGCTGCACGAACGTCCTAAGGAAAGGTTGAGCAAAATCCATCTCCTGCGTTCCTCCCCTTCAACTTGCCAGCGCAGTCCGTGTGTGCATTCCGAGACGTTTGTGCGTTTTGACGCTCGAACGCGCGTCACCATTGACTTTGCATCGAAAGCCGACACAACGCATGATCCGGTCTGAAAGAACCATAAGGGCTATGTGACCAATAAGGAAAGTGATGGGGGTGCTGGGCCAGCTGACCTGGCCTCCACAGTCACCGGACCTGAACACAATCCAGATGCTTTTGGGGCTGGACCACAGAGTGAAGGCGAAGGGGCCAACAAGTGCTAAGCATCTCTGGGAACTCCTTCAAGACTGTTGGAAAACCATTTCAGGTCTCATCAAGAGAATGCAAAGAGTGTGCGGAGCAAAAGGTGCTACTTTGAAGAACCGAGAATATAAGACATATTTTCAGTTGTTTTATACTTTTTTTTGTATGTACATAATTCCACATGAGTTCATTCATAGTTTTGATGCCTTCAGTGTGAATCTACAATTTTCATAGTCATGAAAATTAAAAATTCTTTGAATAAGGTGTGTCAAACTTTTGGTCTGTACTGTACATTAAAAGCATAGGACAGTGGAAAACAATTATATATTAAAACTAAAATAATAATAATTTTAAAAAAAATCTTTCAATGATGGCTGCCTGTGCTGTGAGCATTGGGTGGCAGCTCTGATTGCCACCCCTCCCCCAGCCCAGAAATGGACTAATAAAGGGGAGGATAATGACAATGACATGACATATTGTTCGATCACTATTTACTTGCAAACAGGTAATTACATATATTTGCATACTATGTCCCCTTTAACTTTACCCTACATTCCCTATGAGGATGTCATAAGAGTCGGCTCTACTTTAGCTCTGGGCTAGATTTTGTTCCGATCTCATTTAGTTAGTTTAGTCTAGTCTTTATTTGAAGGGACAGGGTACAGAGACATTAAGCTCGAAGACAGATGTTTGTTGTTATGTTCTGCACCAGATTTTAGCTAAACAGCTAATTTAGCCCTGGTCCTGCCCTGGTCCTACTTTGCCTTGCCTGGAGCCTGGTACTGCCTGCCTGGCCTGGTTCTGGCTTAGATGCACTTGGCTTCCAGGTCATAGAGTTGGAGCAGATCTGAAATGACTGCATCGATGTGGTCTCTGGTGACATCTGAGGACAGCACCTGCACAAAACAAGAACCACGCAAACATTATTCAGTACACATACACAGCCCTCATGTGCTGAAACAAATATCATCTTGTCTGCTATATAGTCATCATTGATACACAAATAATAACATTTTCAACCTATATTTGTCTATAAGGATTCCTTCAATAAAACCAATATCGAAGCTTTTATATTTCTCAGATTTGGCACACCTGATTCCCCATGTATCGGCCATTGTTTTTATTTGCAAGTATATTTATTTTCATAAATGTATAGTCACAGAAAAATATATCTTTTATGTTAGATCAGCCACAAATCATGCACTGTATATTGAAAATAACTATTTTCTACCAGTGAAGCAAAAATTATTCATAAGGAATAATTACCTAATTTCAATCTACACAGGAATCATGGAATTTCATAATCAGTTTTTAGATCTTAATTTATTGACTACATATAATATATATATATATATATATATATATATATATATATATATATATATAAACTAAAAAAATCCTTAGTCAAAAATTAAATTAAATAAACAGGTGGAACTCTTGAGACAAATGCTGTAACATACATTATTTATGCATGTTACAGTAAAGACCATTTACTGTAAAATCTTTGGACTCGTTTAATTGGATAAATCCACTTTCCCCTTTGAAATGGATCTTTAGGAATGTGATAAAAGGCTCTGGCTTGACATTGCCCTCTAAGGTTAGTGTATTTAGGTGCACAACATGAGTCTACCATTGTTGCAAAACAGGAACAATGTGAGGTGAGCAGCAGCTTTATGGTTTGTGAGTTCCTGCCAAGAGACATGGCATATTCGTGCAAAAGGTAGCCTAAAGCCTGGTCGTGAAGCGTTGAAGCCATAATGCGTTGCGCCAAATACGCGTGTGGGGCGCTCGTGCAAGTGCACAGAGGGGCTTGGCTGGCAATGGCCAGCCAATTATTTTTATTAATTATTATCATTATAATCAGTACAAAAGTTAAAGCATACCTGCCACCACTCCTTGTCTCCCCTGGGCAGCTCCACACCATAGCTGTGGAGGGCGAGGTACACAGCGGCGATGGCCAGGTGCTGGGGGGCGTGGCGTATGCACATGTCACCATGGTAACAGTCTCTGAGCAAGGCCCAGGAGGTCTCTGCGACGGGCGAGCGGGCCCAGGCATGGCGATTCAACAGGGCGTGCACGGAGAGAAGGTAGTGCAGCAGGAACTGAGGAGACACAGTAACACACTTCTAAACACAAATGATAATCGTGGAAAAAACATTTTGCAATTAAACATGGGTAACGGATGAGGAAAGGATCTGGATTCCTTAAATATCATCTCGCATGGCACAAACGGGGAAAAAACCCCATCAGTCAGCTCTGTCCATTGCGTTACAGACGGAGGATCTGTCATGAGTTTTGATAAGGAACCTATGGACAGATGGGGTAGGGGTAAATGTTAGCCAAATAATCTGCCAAATATTACCAACAAAGCTCATTGGTTTCTTTGGACTCAGGGGATAGATAACTCATTTTGGTCAGGGGGCAAAAGTATTACACAAGGCAAGTTTCCTGAACAAAAAGAGTTCAGTTACTGTTTTGATGTACTGTATTTTACGGACTATAAGCCGCAGGCTCTAATTTTTCAGAACATTTTTGAATTTTGTACTTGTAGAAGACGCACCGGATTATAAACCGTACCTATGCCACATTGTAATATTGAAAAATGTAGTTAAATAAACATAAATCCTGTCTTATTATTTTGAGTAAAGAATAAGGAGTTCTTAGGCTATATCCACGCGAAGACAAAACGCTTATAATTTCAGAAACTTTTTCTGTAAACACGGAGTTAGCTCAGTAAATGTGTGCGTCCATATGAATGTAGTCAATACGCCTGAAAACGCTGTGAAACTATGCCAGACCTGTTGGTGGCGCTGTGACGCAATGACGGGATCAAGCCCAAACTTCCGTGACGGGAACTGGGCATGCGCAGAATTTTGTAAACAGACAACATGGCGAGTGTGCGAGCTGGTACTACATTAGTATGGACGGACGATGAGGTTGAACTGTTGCTTCGGGTCACACTGGATTACAAAACCAACAAGCTACAAGAAAGTGTAGACTGGGACATTGTTGTTGTCATTATTTTCTGAGTGCGGCTCATGCGTGCTTTAACAAGAGGCGGGGCGATGACGCAAGCGTCTCAGATACATTGCGGAGAGGCAGTAACCACGGAGCGGCATATACGGAGTTTTCAAATCTTTCCACTCTGGGACCTACTTTCAAAAATGTTCGTTTACACCCCCCCAAAACGCCGGCCTCGTATGGACGATACACTGGATTGATAAAGTATTTTTGCGTTTAGGCCTGAACTTGACTTCGTGTGGACAGGGCCTTAATCTTCAACATCTATTGCTCTTTTAGCTTTCATGTCTATACAAAGAACCAAAAAATATTTATAATAATATAATATATATTAGAAATCCTTTTTCTCGAACAGTGCCTATAACCTTTAATACATCGTTTAGTACATATTTTAGACTGATTGACATATACAGTTTAATCATCTGTGAACAACTCATTAATTCTGTTGGTCTACTGGTAATCAGCAAAGTGTTTGGGCGCCACAGAAAATAAAAAAATAAATTAAGCCGCACCTTACTATAAGCCGCAGTGTTCAAAATGCAGAAAAAAAACCGTAGTTTATAGTCCGTAATTTACAGATAATTAAAAACTGATGGTTATATATAAAAGATGAATAGTTGGCAATCATTGTGCTTTCTCATTAAATGTTGGATTAATATGTTTGCATTCATGGAAATTACCTTTAAAATTATATATAACCAGGGGTGCACATGACTGGTACGCAGGCGCGTCCAAAATCAGAAATGCGTACTTTTGCTTGAGTTAGTAAGTGCCTTTGGGTACTTCACATAGACCGTAGACCATGGACCATAGACCATGGGGCGCTCCCCTAAGGGGGCGTGGTGCAATGCCAGGGGGGTTGTATGCTGTAAGTACTCAAACAGGATTCTGCATCCTCTGTGGCCGTATCGTTCTAACCCCGGAGCAACTGCGGCCGGTTTGTAATGACAGCGGATCCCTGTCAAGCAAGACGCTTTGACAACAACGCCGAGTGCGCAGCCGCAACGTGGTCATAATGTACCCAGCGCGGAAACGTCAACAACAAACACGTCTCCCTCAGACTCAACATGATATCGCCCTGTCCCACTCTGCAGTGCTGATGTCTGCGGAAGCACCAGACCAGTGAGACGACGTCTGCTGTGTTTCAATTCAGGCACATTGTTTTTGTCTCTCCTCACTACAGGAGTCAGATTCAGTGTATTTGCAGTAAATATTTTTAATACATTCACCAGACGAGAACATAAATAAAACAAGCTCAAAAGTATAAACAATTGTCATTGAGGCCAATCGACAAAAACAGTTGAAATAACAAGAGCATTTAAAAGGAGCTATACCCGTTTCTGCAAGGTTTGAATGTTTAGCACCGCCCCCCAACTCGCTCACAGGCTTCTAATTTCCCCTCCGCTCTCATTCCACGGAGCCATCTAGTTTTATTTGCGATCTATATGCAAACATTGGCATGAGCGCAACTTCTTGTAAGCTGTACAACAATCACAGATGAAATGGTACAAAAGCAACGCACTGCTAACAAAATATTTAACTATATCCCACCCATAGACAAGTCTCTCTAGAGGACGAGATGTAGAGGACCCGGGCTTGATTTCTTCTTGATCATTACTTCGCTTTAGTTCCCTCTTCTCTTCCTCACTGTTGTGTCGTTTGGGTTGTTTTGCTGTGTATGCAGTTACAGCAAGAAGAGTTATAGCTAATTCTGCTTACATGCTACTGCGTTAGTAGCGCTGTAGAGGCTAGAGGACGCAGTATCCTTCTGTGATTGGAGGACAGCGGGCGTCACGCTAAGTCTCTACTCAGCACTTTTTACGGCCTGAATTCATACACAAGCTGAATCAATGAGCTCAAGTTTTCAATTAAATTACTGATTATAATACAACTTGTATGTAGTAATAAGCATTTTTATGAACCAATTAAAAAACATTTGGGTATAGCATCTTTAAGTACTTTGTTCAAACTGATAACAGCTTGTGGAAAGTAGTAGTAGTAGTAAGTAATCATTTATATACAACCTTTTCACTGCAGATCAGAGTCTCAAAGCGGTTTACAATTGTTATTTTTGGGCGGGGGCTCCAGCACAGGAGGCACATGCCAGATCTATTGTGCATGTTTTTAGTGGTAGGGGAAACCGAAGTACCCGGAGGAAACCTACGCAGACACGGGGAGAACATGCAAACTCCACTCAGAAAGGCCCTGGTCCAACTGGGATTCGAACCCAGGCCCTTCTTGCTGAGAGGCGAGAGTGCTATCCACTCAGCCACCGTGCCGCCCGGTTATCAAAGCTGTTATCAAAGCTAGATGTCCTACATCTCGGGGAACAATATCTTCTGCCAGAGGGAAGAAGCTGGAACATGGCTTTTCTAAGGGCCAGAAGAGTCATGATTATTCTTAGAGCTCGGTTTAAGAGTCTGGATTCATAAAGAACATCCAGAACAGGCAGCTCACAACTCACACTCCCTTTTCAGAGTGGACCTTGTTTAGAGCTCTCCTTTCTTTGGCTGTGATGTTGCCTAAACACAGTCACAGAACCAACAAGCGAATTTTTCAATGGTGCTTTTTCAATTCATGTTTTCAATTCAATTTTTCAATTTGGCGATGTTGGTGGTTATGGTGGTGTTGGTCTGCGCCACAGGACAGTCCCAGCAGACCATCCTGGAAATACTATGCCAGGGACAGATGGCCAGCACCTTCGTGGAACAAGAGTAAACGTCCTCGATCATACGTTCTGCCCACATTTTTCACATCGTGCTGTTTCCAAGTTGAACTAATTCTTGCTTTTGTGTGGACATTATCCAGGATCATTTAAAACCTGCCTACTTTAGCATAAAACATTTTAGCATCTACTGGAAGCAAGTATAAAATCTCGATTAAGAACCACTCGACAAATGGGGTGAGTACCAAATCCCATCTCCTGGTACTCACCTGAGTACCTTACTGAAAAAGCTATGTGCACCCCTGTATATCACATAGTAATAGCCTTCCTATAAACATCAATGGTGAAAGATAATAAACACAAATAATATTAATTGAAAATAATTTCAGGGACCACTAAAAATGGTCTTGTCTGAGTTTGACATGGCTGCTGTGGATCTTTTCTTCGCTCCTCTCCTCGGTTCTCTTCATGCAAACTGAGAATTGTGGGTAGAAGGAGAAAAGAAAAGATTACCATTAGATCATAACGGTCTATTTATAAGGAACCTCAAAGGGAGGGACCTCAAAGATACTATGTGTACATTTCTGGAGGTGGCAGGTCACCTTAATGCCATAGAAAAAAAAAAATCAAACCAGAGTGTTGAACACTGTGTGGTTTGGATACATTGAAGTTAGGACATGTTTAAGGCTGAACCTTGTGCGGATGTTCAAAGGACACGTGGAAGTTGAGTTGTCGCAGAATGAGTAGTTCACACTGCACCACACTATCCCTGAGGTCCCAGAAGTCCTGGTCACAGTCCAGAGGAGTGCTGCCACTGCGGAAATACCTACAGCACAAGGATAGGGTGTATTGATACAGATATAGCTGAATATTCATTTCCATTATTCAGCTGAGCTCGTGTGTGCGTGCATGCGTGTGCATGTGTGGTCACCTGAAACAATCCAACACATAACTAAAGGGTGTAAAATGCTGGCAGGAAGAGCCTACATGGAACACCATAATCTAGTGGCTGGCATAGAAAACATCTGGCCTCTGGTATAGAACCAGAGCTGAGAGAGAGACGATTGCCCGCGGAGGGTGAATGTAGCAAATATATATATTTATGACTATCAGGCAGTGGAAATAACTGCCTTCAACGTTTGGGCTGTGACCAGGAGATAGTTGTGATTCCTGATGAACGTCCACTATTCATACAGATTTCTTTTGCTTGAAGGACAAACCCCGCAAACATTCCATCAGGCCCCACAATCCCCCAGTTGCCCCAAAAACCCCATAAATATTTCAAATATAGAAAAAAAAATTCTATTATTTTGAGCGCTAGCACCACCAAAGTATCCTTACCTATGGCTGACGTTGATGATGTCACGCGTCCTCAGATGCTGCTCCTCCACTTTCCCGGCTAAATAAATGCAGCTGGTGGCCACAAGGAATGGCTCGTAAGCATGGATGTCCACGCGCGCGCAGAAGCGATGGTACAGGGTGCAAGCGGTGGCCACTGGCACAGACCGCATGCCCAGCTTCACCCCTTAACACACACACACACACACACACACACACTTAATACTTGAAACGATTAGAAAAGCTCACAATTGGCATGCATTTGTAACGCTGATGTATTGCACTTATTTAATTCTCAAAATATCGTCTTCATTTATATGTCTGAACATGTGCCCGTCTAAGCTCACAAAAACTGGTATAAGCTTCTTTTTTTATGCGGTTCCTGAAAGAATTGTTTTTATTTTAATTTTATTTATGAAATGCATGTAGAAAGTGCACAGTTGACGTGCACTCGAGCACTACAGAGTGGAGAGGAGTTTGTGGAAGTGAGGACCATGCGGATACATGAGCGGGCTAAGAGAGAGAAATGAGCACTCGCATCCAGGAAACAGATGCCCAAGCCACCTCAAATGGTTCCTCCAACAGGACAATATTGTCTACAAACAGCAGAGAATAAATCCTGTGGTCCCCAAACCAGACCCTTCCGGCACACAGCTGCGGCCACATGCTGTCCATAAAGACAATGAACAGAATCGGTGACAAAGCGCAGCCTTGCCCGGGACCAGTGCTTAATTTGAGCACTGGTCAATCAATCTGTCGGGTTGATAATGGAAATAATAAATTTCATTCAATACATGTATCGTACTGTATTTAATATGATTAACAATAGTGTGTTCAAACAAAATATTTAATTAGATTGATTTTTTTCCCCATGTTCCATTATCAACCCGACAGACCAGTGTAAGAGTGTAGAGTGGCCACAGGACGCGTCATCAGCCTACGTCAGCAGCCGCGGACTGCTATGAAAACATTAGCTTTGTGGTTTCACAGGCGCAGTTGACTGCTTAAACTAAACTTTGCACAAAACTTTGACTCTTAAAACCCACATGTGACAAAACGGAACCATCAACATCTCGCCTCAAATTGCATTAAAAGTGACATTCGTGTCTTAATTTGTTTGTATTTCAACTTTTAAAGCAATTCACGGTCCGCCATCTTGGTATGCTTCGGTTGCCGTGAGACGCGCATGCGCAGGTTTGCATTACATCATAAACAGCTGAGGCAGTGCATCTCTTCAAGACAGTGTATCTCGGCGTTACACCGGAACACGCCGGAACATGTTCCGGCACTTGTACACGCGTGCAAGATTAAAATACATTGTTCCTCTCGAACCTATTGCGTGTTAGCTAGCACATTGACCCTCTCCTAGTATATAAACAAATGAAAACGTGACCCAGGTGGGTTAAATAGCTTTTTTGGCTCTGCCTTCTCGACTACTGTTGGTAAAATTAAATAAAATGACCCCCCTCTCTAAGGGTGTATTCAGACCTGAAAAGTCCTTTGCTCCGCTTGCTTGATCCAAATCAAAAGCGGACCAAACTTTTTTCTTTTGCTCCGGTTCGTATTCAGACTGTCCTTTTTGCAAGTGAACTTTTTTATATAAACATATCGACACGTGTGACGATCGGCGCTCCTATTGGACAGAGAGAGCTCACGGAGGATAGACGCGGAACCAGAGGAAAACATTGAGGGCTCGTATGTGCAGCATGTCTGCTCTGCCTATGTTTGCTCTTTTTAGAGCAAAACCACCTTCAACAGCAGCTCATATGACGCAGGCGAAACACGTTGTTTTAAATATTGGAACAGCGTCGGAGAATGCGTGAGGAGAAAGCCGAAGGAGACTCTGTGCGCTCCGTGTCCTTTCCTGTCCCACACATGGATCTATGATAATAACCCTGTTCCACAACTTACTGACAGCAGCATCGTGGATAAACCATGGATCTATAATAACCACGGGACAAACAGACGCTGAGGATCAGGTAGGAACCAAAGAACACAATTCACTACATGATGCGGAATATTGCTCTTTGAGACGTGAGTCAAACAGTGTCAGGCTTTTAATAATGCAAATGGTTTGAAGATGCTGCCATTAACATCAATGTATACTGTGAACAGTTTTAACTCCATAAGCCTGTTGCACAGCGTCTCCTCACTGCTCCAGGTCTGCACACGGCTCAGTGTTGTTGTGTAGCGTTAGCAGCATAGTTAGCATCATAGTTAGCAGCTGCGTGGCTAATTCCTCAGTTTCTGTCTGCGGCTTGTTAAGCCCAAAAAATGCGCACGTATCTTGGAGTTGTGTCGGATCGACACCGGATGTATTCAGACCTGATTCGACTTGGACCAGAATTCGTTTGGAAGCGGACCGAGACCACCTCAAAAAGTGGGTCTCGGTTCGGTTCTTTGGTCCGGACCAGGATTTGTTTGTGTGTATTCAGACCTGCATAAAAGATTCGGATCAGAGTTCCAAACGAATCCTGGTTCGTTTAAAGTGGAGCAAATGTGCAGGTCTGAATACACCCTAAAACACTGTGGCCGCTCAAAGGAGTAATCACAGCAACAGGCTTATATCACTGCGCTGCCGAACGGAATGTTTCAAGATATCCTTTGTTCCTTAGGCTGTCAGACTATAGAACAAACCAGGATGAGTCTTCTGCTGCTGGACACCTGAATTTCTCCTACGGGGGCTCAATAAAGTATCTATCTATCTTTTATTAATTTGCTCTAATAGGTCTAATAAAGGGACAAGCAGAGACTACCGCGCGTCGTGCGCTCTGCAGAGAGGGTGATCGGCCGCAGCCTCCCATCGCTGCAGGACCTCTACGACGCCAAAGCTCGAGGCCGGGCTGGTCGTATCACAGCCGACCCCTCTCACCCGGCACATGGATTCCAACCTCTCCCCTCAGGCAGAAGGCTACAGTCCTTTCGGACCAGAACCTCCCGCCTTAAGAACAGTTTCTTCCCCTGCTATTGGACTCATGAACACTTCATAACCTATGCCTTTATAAGCCACTTTACTGCCCACTTTACTACACTTCACCTGAGCCCTTTATAAAGCCACTTTACTGCCGTCACCTTGCTGCACTGCTCACTGCATAATGTGTGCACTGTATATAGTGAATGGTAAAATTAATTATTTTAATTTTTATACCTTAGAAGTGTATGCTGATTTTTACTTACTCTGTTCTCTACCTCTCTTACTTGACTGTTGCACCGAGAGCCAAAGCAATTTCCTAGTCTGTGACTTCCTGTTACTTATATGGCAATAAAAATTATTCTGATTCTGATTATTCAAAGTGTTGCTTATGTAGTTTGCATTATGTCGACCTGCTTCATATTCACTCAAAACAGTAATGCTCCAATGTGTTGAATTTTCCGAAAGGATTGTTTAAATTTTCCATCAAGTAATCATGGGTTTGGCTCCTTACTAGGGGTGGGAACCTAAGGGTACCTCACGATACGATACGATACAAAGCTCACGATAAGGATAATATCACGATAACAATATCACGATAACTATATTATCACGATATGACGATTATTGATATATTGGTCAGAAATATACAATATGCCAATTTATGGCATAAATAAAAGAAAAAATACTCTTTATTTCATGATATATATAGAATGGAGATGCATAATGCATTTTTTGGTTTATTTTTCAACATTGATATCGATACTTGGCAAATGCATATCGATAATCGAATCGCGGGAGAAAGTATCGCGATATATCGAAAAATCGATATATCGTCACACCCCTACTCCTTACAATAATGGCTCTCATCTTGCCACTCATCCACACAGGCCAGATTTGTGTGGAGTATGACTTATGTCCCATGAACAGATCCCCCCCAGATCAGTAGCTGTACTTTGCTGCTCTTCCAGAGTCATCTTGGGGCACTTGGTTGCCTTTTTGACCAGTGCTCTCCTTGTCCGATTCAATAGTTACCGTGGATGGCCATGTCTTTGTAAGTTCGCAGTGCCATACACTTTCCATTTCCAAACAATGGATTGAACAGTCTTCCGCAAGATGTTAAAATCATGGGAAATCTTGGTATAACTTGATGCTACTTTAAACTTCTCCACAACTTTATCCCTGAGCTCTCCAATGTGCTCCTTGGCCTCATGATGTTGTTCAGTGGCCAATACACTCAGACTATAGCTCTGAGGAACTCACAGAACAGCCGTATTTATACTGAGAGTAAATTACACACAGGATACCTCTATTCAATAGCTAGGGGAAAGTGTGTACATAAAGCAGTTGGAGACAGGAAATTCAAAAAAAGCTGTATGAATACTTGTACTCTTCCATAAAAAAATAAAATGATAACAGAATCATATATTTTGCCTTTTACTTGTATGTGAACTTCAGTAAAAAAAATCTAAATAAAATCTTGATTTTGTCAGTTGTAAACATGACAAAATATGCAAAAGTTCAAGCTGTTTTCATATTTGAGAGGCACTGAATGTTAGAAAAATGATAATATTAATTAATTCACAGACCAATATGATTTTTCAATAAATTTGACTATAAAAGCACAACAAAAAGTTTCTTTATCCGATTACCAAAAAATGGTCGACAGACTAATTAGATGAGAAATAGTACGAAAATAATGGTTAGCTGCAGCTCTCCTCCTCTATACATGCTAACAGAGACCCTAATCCCCTCTCTGCTTGCTTTAGCATAACTTAATGTGGATTGGAGCAAATAGCTCTCACTTTTGTTCTCAGGGTGGCTGCGGTCAGCACTTTTGTCAGTAACTTTAAGAAACATAGAATCCGCTGATGAAAACCTTATCTCGAGTTAGACAAAAGGGGTTTATACCTGCTTCCATGATGAAGCGACAAACACGGAAGTGCGTCTTTACGTCTTTGGATGGATCAGCCGCTCTTTCTGGTGCAGACCTGACAGAGGAGGAGGCCATGGTCAACTCCAGCACAAAATCTACAGGACAGGGGACAAATGGCGTCAAGAAGATTAATGAAGAACTCAGTGGGCAGCTACTTAAATAGACACATAGATATACTTTATTGATCCCCATAGGAGAAATTCAGGTGTCCAGCAGCAGAAAAGTCAAATAGGTCTGTTGTACAGTCTGACAAAGGATTCCTTAAAACGTTCTGTTTGGCAGCGCAGTGATATAAGCCTGTTGCTACGATTACTCCTCTGAGTAGCCATAGTGTCATGCAGAGGGTGTCTGGAGTTACCCAGGATGCCCTGAATTAGAGCCCGGATCCCACAGAGTCCACACTTCGACCCAAACACATTTCCTGATCAGCCGGTTACCGACTCATGAGGTCAAACTGCAGTCCCAACACGCAACCCCATAGAACACTGCACTAGCTACACAGACAGACTGGTAAAATGAGTGCAACATCTGATTGCTCATATATGACAACTAAGCACCATAATAAATACTAGGCCTCTCCATTGGCTCTGGCCACTGTGTGACATCACTTTGTGCTGTGTGACATTCCGTCACTCTGCGCTTGTGGTATAAAAGCAGCCAAGTCTCGTAGCAACTTGATGTTGGAATAGCGAGTGAGCGTGTTACATCGATTTTCAGGTTAGCAATTTATCAGCATAGGATTTAGTAAGTTCTTTAGCGTAACATTTATTGCGTGAATACAAGTAGTTTAGTTTAATTTAATCACTGCGTGAAGAGGATAGAAGCGCTGTATTCTGGTGACATCTAGCGATTTAAATAACATCAGTTACTATACAATTATCTAAGTGTGTGTAAACAAGGGTGGAATGAGAATTTCTGGTGTGTAAACTATTGCTTTAAGCCAGCAATGAAAACTTTATGACAAGACAAGCAATAAACATTTTCAGAATGGCAATGGGCTCTATGCACGCAACACTTCCGCGTTTATGACCCCACTTGACTTCCTGTGCGCGGGGAACGGCTTGAGTTTCACTGGAGTTCAGCAGATGTTTACACGAGTTTCCTAAATAATGCTCAAACGGGAATTAAACTGTGAGGATACTGGGCATTGTTGGGACACAGTAGTGCTTTTTGATTGTGCTGTCATTGTGCTTTTATAAAGTTAACTAATCTCTCTGAGTGGCCACAGTCAAAGCTAGACCTCAGAGAGAAAGCACTTAGACACTTTTGGGTCAGTCTCACAGCTGAATGTATCAATTTAATTACTAAAAAACATCACTACAACTCACCTAAAAGCCATAGCGATAGCATAGACAGGAAGTGAACGGGCTGTGCTTAGTTAACAGGAAATGACCTCACGCCTCCCCGTGCATATGGCCCATTGTGTTTATTTATATGAAAATTCACGACGAGGAGGAACCCTGTGTAGGCCACATCCTCAGGGAACTCCTGCCTGATGCTGGTCACAGCACAAGACAGGGTCACTACTCAGCTGTGCTGGCCTAGATAGCCCCAACATCACCTGAACAGATTCTGGTATGCAAGGTCCTGGTAAAGAGGTGATGTACGAGTTGCGCTGCAGGCTCGTCAGTGCTAGCCGCACCAGTGGCCTCGGGTGACAAGCTGGCCACCTTCTCCACTTCCACTTCTGGTGATGAAGGTGGAGAGAAGTCCTCCACCTCATAAGGCTTCTACTCTGACAATGTTAAAGAGTAGCTAAATAAACAATTCTGTTTATCTGTGCATACAACTGAAACAATGTCTGTTCTTTTATAAACACCATATATCCTTGTGTGATTTCTCACTTGCTTTTGTGAAGCACATGGTTGGCCTGTGTTATTTAAATAAACCTTGGCAGTTCTGTGACGCCAAGGTTTGGCGTCACAGGTTTGCTGTGATTTTGGGCGACACAAATATAATTTATTTGATTTGATTTATGATTACTAAGAAGTGCGAGTGGTGGTTACACACTATTTACTGTCAGCAGTTATATACTTTATTGATCCCTCGTAGTAGAAATTCAGGTGTCCAGCAGCAGAAACAAATCCATCCATACAAACAAAATCATAAATCTATAAGTTACTAACAATAGTAATGCAATAGCACTTTAGGTCACAGCAGCAGAGGTGGAACAGCCGCTGGTGATGAGCTGCTTCCTATCATCTGGTTGATGTACGCAGAGTCTGCTTGGTTTGGACAATTTTCTCTGCACTAGTCCAGAATTGAATTCTGAATTCACAGAACACTTCGTTGTCGAATTACTTTGAAAAATGAACACCCAGTTTTCCCCGAGGTTTCTCAATTTTCTGTGTTAGTTTTTTTCTGGCCGATTCAGGAAGGTCTGTTAGACTGTTAGTGAGTCTAACAAAAATGACTGTGGTGATGATCCAGGACACTCAACTTTCTTCAACATTTATGGACATTGGTCAACTCCCCCCATGGACCAATACCTATGTGTTCTATATTTGTAGTGTTTGAACTGTTTGATTCTGTGATCTGTGTTAGAGATTAACGATTTTGTTAAGTCCTCTGAGATAACTACTGTTGTGATTTAGGCCTATACAAGAATAGATAAAAATTAAATTGAACCTGCTCGTGTCTGGCTTTGTTTGATGGGGAAGCCGGATTACACAGTTGAATTTTAGTGATTTTATGTTCACTTACAAAAAAAATCTGTGATTTAGCATATGTTAACGCAACTGTCACATTTATTATTGACGCCAATATCGTTCATATATAAAACTCACCCACAGTCGTAGAGACAGGAGCTTTCCACGCATGAAATCAGCTGTAATATTGTTTAAACCACGAATGCAAAAAGCATAACATGTTCGGCTAACCGCTAACAGACTAACCGGATATACCACCAGATACTTCCGGTAGCAAAAACTTTTTTTCTTCTTCTTCTTCTTCTTCTACTGAGGTTTATTGGCGGTTGGCAAACAACCTTGAGGTGCATTACCGCCACCTTCCGAAATGGAGTGTGGGCCAGGACGACCCCTTCAGTCCTTCAGTCTTCTGCGCTTCGAAGGAAACGCAAAACTACTCTAACCCCCCCTACCGAACTACACCCACTCAATACTTCTTTTAAGGAAAATGTTCTGTCGTGCCCATTCACATAGATCTTAAGCAACTCTCTTGGTCTTCTGTATCTTACACATTAAAAACTTTTTTTTTAATTTACTTTTTTTATTTATAATTTTGCCTTGATGGTGATGGTTAAAATGATTTAATGCAGATTTAAATAATTTATTATTGCTTTTATTTACTAAATCAAAAGTTATTAATAATTTGTTTTATAAACAACTCGTTGAGGTTCCTTTTTGATGTTTCCATAGATAACTCTTGCACATCCATGCTGTAGAAGAGCACCCATAGACTGTAACTAAACCTGTTACTTAGCAACGGTAAACAAACACCGGTCACAGTAAACTTAAACATGTCTTCGGGATTTTCCGCAAACCAGGTAAATTCCGTGAAATTGTAATCAAAAGCTTGAGCGCATTTCTAGGCGTTATTTCTATTATATTTGTATTGCATGTTTACATTTTTGCTTTTGTCAGTTTGACGGCGCCTTCAAGTCCCAGAGGCTGCAGAACTGGGGTCCGCCAAAGCAGTTCAAAGAGGTAGCGTTAACTCAGTGCTGACTAACATTGAACAATATATTGCTTCAGAAAATTACTGCAATAGACGTTATTTTCTGGTTCTTATTTGGATAGTCGACAATGATGTGCATGTGTTTTCAGAGACCTACAGCCAAATTGGGACAAACCAGCATCATTGTGGATGACAGAGGCCATTTACTCCCAGGATTTAAGGTTACCACTTTAAATCTATTCCCTAAAGTTTTGTTTGACACTTGCATGTTTGAATTATCCCGTATTATTCCAAACGTGAAGGCAGACTCCCATGTAGCCAGTCACATGTGAATTGAAATCCGAGACAGATGATGAGATGACACAAAGTTAGGATGGATGAAGTTCAAATTTGACTCAGGATCTTTAGTTTGCTGCGTGAAGTTGTTTGTTTAACCTACGTCTATAATGTTACACTTGTAGCATTTTTTTTTTTGCTGCAGATGTGACATGTGATGTGATAAAAGTGGTTGTCATTGCAACCACAAAGTAAACAAGAGCCAAATCATTCCTAATATAAATAAGACACAATTTACTGTTGAGCATGTTTTTATTTTTTACCACACTGGCATGTCACTGTTCCATCTGAAAAAGTTAATCTGCAGAGTGAAGAAATAAATATCTTATTAGTGTGACCCAAAAAAATATTACTCCATCTGTAAACATGTCAAGACAAGACTATATTCGATTTTGTTTCAAGATCATTTACATTTTGCAGACGTTCATAAGTAGAACTACTTCTTTTGGATTTCAAATATTGACATCTGCGATTTCATGTCCTTTCCTCCCAGATGAGAGACAGTTCTTGGCCAGACTTCAAAGGCACGTGGGATCTTCCAGCCCGCCTCCCGGCTCACAGTGTCTGCCCTACAGCACGGTCAGAGCAGGGTCTGAGGCGCCTAAGGGCCTGGGGAGTGACCACACCGCGCATTACTGATCCTCCAGCAGAGAGCAGCACAGACACGCAGGCACAGGACGCCAGCACGCAGCAGGTGGGGGATGTGTGGAAGATGACGTGTTTAGACACCTGTAGGCTGTAGCTGAGCCTTTACATACCCAGACGGAGGCTCCTATCTCAATTACTGAAGTTATTAAAACTATTAACTGTTTGTCTAACTCCAAGGCTCCAGGAGAAGATGGCTACACAGCAGAATGGCTCCATTTCTAACAGTGCTATACAATAATATAATACAAAAACAATGTATGCCACCAACAATGAGAACTGCCATTATATCATTAATTCCTAAACCAGCCAAAGACCAGTTGCAGGTAAACAATTATATAGGCCCATAAGTTTGCTCAACAGTGACTACAAACTATTTGCCAAGATTTTGGCAAATTGTTTGGAGAACATAATCCCCCATTTAGTGAACCTAGACCAAGTTGGTTTCATACCAGGACGTCTGATGTCCAATAACATGATGTGACTTTTCCAATAAATGTATTGGGCAGGTTCTTTTCAGCACCCGGTTATCGCTGTGTCACTGGATGATGAAAAAGCTTTCGACCGGATAGAATGGTCATATTTATTTCATGCTCTGTCTCAATATGGTTTTGGCCCAAATTGTCTGCAATGGATAAAAGCTACATACCAACCCCCAATGTCATCTGTAAAATCAAACAATGTCATCTGTAAAATCAAACAATGTCATCTGTAAAATCAAACAATGTCATCTGTAAAATCAAACAATGTCATCTCTACACCCTTTCAGCTCTTTCGCTCCACGAGACAAGGATGACCGTCATCCCCAATTGTATTCACTCTTGCACTAGAACCGTTAGCGTGTATGATCCGAATGGATAAATAAATAGGAAGAATAAAAGTGGGAAACCATTAATTCAAATTAAGCATGTACGCAGATGATATCTTATTGACATTTACAAAACCATCACAATCCATCCCTAAAACTCTTCTGAATATAAACACATTTGGTAAATTATCAGGGTACAAGGTTAACTGGAGCAAGAGTGAAGCAATACCTCTAAATTACTTTACATATAAAAAAGACCTGGGTACAGCTCCTTTTGTCTGGAAAAATGAGGGCATGAAATACTTGGGGGTTACAATTGGGTTGCAGATAGAAAAAATCATGGAAAACAACTTACATCCACTAACAAACACTATAAAAGAAAACCTTAAAGAGATGGTCATCACTGCAATTGTCTCTGTGGGGCAGAGTTGAAATAATTAAGATGAATATTCTCCCAAGAATTCTCTCTCTCATCTCCTCAGTGCCTCTTAATATACCAATGTGTTGGTTTGGTGATGTGAAGAAAATGTTTGGCTCTTTCCTATGGAGAGACACAAAACCCAGGATCAATATAAAAAACTGTCTCTACAGAGAGACCAAGGTGGTCTAGGTATTCCAGACATCTTTCTGTACTATATTGCATTTAATGTCAGATATGGTTTAACCTAGGGTTATAGGACGATATGAGAGAAAGGGAGTTGGGATTGGCTGGAAGAACAAGTATTTAAAGAAAATAATGCATCCATTTCACTATCATCACTATGGTATCACCCAAATCTACCTGCTAAACTGAAGAACTCTCTTATGCGGCTGACCTGTACAACCATTAAGAAAATGCGACAAAAATTGGGTAAAACAAAAATGGTACTTGCATCCTGTCCAATATGGAACAATATGGCAATTACAGCTGCTGAGAATCCTCTAACAAATAAAGCATGGAAACAAAATAACATTCTGCAAATTTCTGATATTATCAATCAAGGTTCACTGCGGTCTTTTGAGGAGCTGAGAACTAAATATGGCTAGTGTACAAATGCCTTTTTGCAATACGCCCAAATAGCCTCAGTTTTCTCCAGACTAAAGGAATACTTTAAATATGATAATGCATCGGTTTTATATAGCGCTTTTTTGGACACTCAAAGACGCTTCACATGTCATTATTCATTCACTCCATACACGGTGGTGATAAACCACTACTGTAGCCACAGCTGCCCTGGGGCACAGTGACAGAAGCGAGGCAACCAGTATGCGCCATCGGCCCCTCCGACCACCACCAACCATTCATACACACACCAGACTCATTCTAGGCAATGGGGGTGAAGTGTCTTGCCTAAGGACACAACAGCAGTTTGGCACTTTACAGCCGCAGCTGCCCCACTGTGGCTGGTGTTCCCAGAGGTTAAGTGTCTTGCCAAGGACACAACGACAGTAGTCAGTGGGAGTCAATGGTGAAAGTCTTCAGCGGGGCTTGAACCCACAACCTTCTGGCTCAAAGGCCAACGCTCTACCAACTGAGCTACTGCCGCCCGATGATAGTGAAATGGATTACAAATACAGAAAGTTGGTCATTAATAAAGGGACAGTTTCGGGTCTGTATAAACTACTTATGAACTCAGATCAGACTGTGAACAAACAAACAGAATCAAAGTGGGAAAAAGATCTAGGACAAACAATTACCATTTCAGAATGGAAACCAATATGGAGGAATATGACCAGAATATCAAAATCAATAAACATTAGGATGATACAATTCAAAATATTACATAGAGCTTATATAACTCCAGCCAAACCCAACCTAATAGACCCACAGACCTCAGACTTATGCTGGGGAGGCTGTGGTCAAAGGGGAACATTAATACATATGCTTTGGTACTGCCCTGATATTACACATTTCTGGACACAGATAGTAAATGCAATCTCAAAAATATTAAATATTAACCTGTGCCCTTCCCCAGCTACTTTCTTACTCGGATTCAGAGATACTCAACTGGAAAACAAACAGAACTATAATATAGCTAATATAGCTTTCATTGCGGCTAAAAGAACAATAATAATGAATTGGAAGCATCGTAAATTAAACTGTTTTGCAGTGGAAAAATGGATACACGAATTTACAGATTTACTAGCCATGGAAGAAATTATTAACAACTATAATGGTATGGATCTGGATCTTGAGCAACTCATAGCTGGGGTCGGGTCAAAGGATGTGGTGTCAGGAAGGTAAGAGCTCTGTCTGTTTTTGTTTGTTTTTTTAAGATTTCTTTTTGATTTCTTTATCAAACGTGCCAACTAACTGATAAATATAATATACTGTATGCTTAACGCCTATTGATGGTATATTGTGTCTGGGCTCCAGGTCTGTCTGTTGTCTGTATATCTCGACAATTACAGAGGTATTTATGTCCCTTTGTCATGGAAAGACTGTGATGTTAACTCCCCTCTCCCTCTCCCTCCCCACGACAAGGTTTTGTGTCTCGTCGTGTCTTGTAGTTTGTTGTATTTTTATTTTTTATTTTTTTTCTTCAAGGTCTTGAAGAAGACTCTCATGTGTTTTTTTTTTTTTTTTTTGTCTTCAAGGTCCTGTCTCATGTGTTATTTTTATTTTTTTTTGCTGTATAGGGCCCACTAGCAAGGCTTTGAGTCCCCCGTGGTAGCATCGGGTGGCAGTGCTACTTGAGGGGTCTAGAGCTGAATGCGGATGAATGAATGTGTGACCGAAACTTCTTCCTGTAGTCAACCATCCTCCTCAGAGGAAATGGTTGACTACGGCTATAGAATTGATTGATAATTTGATGAAAAGTTCTATATGGACAAAACTACTGATTTTTGTTTGTTGAGAAACTGTGGAAACTGTTGGAATATTAACAGTTCCATTAAGTGCCATTAAGCATTAAATATTGCTTAATGGCCCCATGAAGTCAAAGGGAAAATGAACAAAGGTACAATTGTCATGAGTAATAGAAACAAATAGGTCTATGCAGTTACTCAATAAAGGTTCTAGTGTGGAAATCAACGACAGGAGGCGAGATTGAGTCAAGAGTCTCTTTTATTGTCGCCACTATTAGAACTCAAACTTGACATACATCCGGAGCTTCAGCTTTCGGCAAAAAGCCCTTAACAACTATTTGTGCCTAAGAAATGAGTGTCACCTCACTATGTTATATACAAAATGTATCCTCCCACCTAAAGAACAAATAGGTTATTACACAGTGCCCAGTTAATAAAGAAATAAAAACATAAACATCCCACTAACTGCTAACATTGATTATGCTGTGTGAGATTGAAGCCAAATGTTATTCGAGTCAAATCCAGTGTGTTGTCTGTGCGCTATTTTCTCAGGGGAGAGCACAGACAAGAAAAGCAAAGTTCATTTGCTGGTCATACAATTGGTATGTGTAACTCCTCATTTTACAGAGTTTGAGGCAATTGGTTTTGAGGCAAATTTTTTTTGGGATATACTTGTAAGACAAAAAAGGAGTGCTGAAAAAACACCACCAAAGGGTGGGCCCATCAAAAATGTTGGTTTGCAGTTCTCTGACCTTTTCTAGGAAAAGGCCCAGGACCTTTCATAACGCGCACTGCTGCTCAGCTGCTCCTATTGTAAGTAAGAAAACATAAGGGTGCGTTCACACTTCCTAGTCTACATAGGATTAATGCACTTCAGAGGCAAATACACGGGCCCTTATGATGTCACTGACTGTTATTAATTAAGTGAGCTGCCCAAGTTAATCAGAGAACCAGGTGTACTTTATATGTACCAAAAATATGAATTTGTACAATTATTCGTCATATCTTATTTTGTTTCAGCCTGAAGCAGCTTTGCATTTGGAAGATTCTGGACAAACTCAATCTCCAAATCATGAACGCCCTATCAGCACAGAAGAAAGAGAGGGAACTCCAACTAAAGACCCCGCGGCCACAAGTCAGACCTCTGCCCCCTCCCCTAGAGGGCGGACCTCTGCCACAGGACGGACCTCTGCACCTCCCCCACCGGGCGAACCTCTTACCCCTCCCCCATAGGGTGGACCCTCTTACATTCAGACATATGGAAAATAAATAGATAGATCTGCTGTCAGTTTGTGTGAGGTTACTCCTTTTTGGTTCTGCTTCTTTGGTTTAGTCCTAGTTTAGACCTGATTTAGTCCCCCTATAAAGCCCTGTTGGAGTTACATCGTTTGGCCATCAAGTAAATGCATGTAAAATAAATAAGAGCATATAGATAACAAACGCACCTATTTAAGAGATCATTTGGGAATGTGACAACAGCATTGTCCATTGCATTTTTTAAGAAAATATACCTACACTACACTATAAAATAACATATTAGAAAAGAATAAAATTCAGTCTGCTTTCTTGTAACATCAGATCAGACTCAGACAACTCAACAATGGAACGTAGTCCCCAAAAGTCCCCAAAAGAAAAAGAATAAATTTTCAGTGTATTATATGTAAGAAAAGCGGTGAAAGGGAAATGTAAACATATTATATACCATACGTCAAAATTCTTATAGAATTTTTCAAAATATCGAGATCGTGTGTCGAGATATCGCCAACCCCTAGTTGGTAGTACTCTTTCCACCAAAAATGTCCATCACAACATGGTGGTAGATTGTCGTTTTGTGGTGATGCGAATTCTCTTGACCATTAGCCATTCTGATTGTCCTGCAGTCACTCGAATTCTTATACAGGAAACCCTAAACACATACTTTTTGTCTAACTCCGCCATTTCAAAATTCCCTTTTTCCATTTTCCCGAGTGACACAAAGACTTTGCAACTTTTCTCATCTTTTTTGACGTTTATAACACCCATGCCTATTTCTACTTCAGCCGAATTTAAAATGTCTTTCCCTCCGTCTCCGGTTTCTACTAAAATATCCTCAATCACAGCTGAAGTTTTAAGCACGGCTGTTAAATAATCACCGTTGGACGGAGATTGCGCCCAAAAGAATTCTTCACCGGGTGTCCAGGCAAAAACTGTGGCATGCTTTTTATACATTTTCATATTGGTAAACAACTCTGCCTCTGGGTTTGAATATCCATCTTCAAAATCTTTGTCTTTTAGTTCATTCTTGCTTCCTCGAAAAGACGAAATAGTCCCCATGTGCTGGAAAAGCGAGGGTCGGAGGATAATGGGCTCTTTTTGTGTTAGCAAATCACGGAATCGGCTCATCAGCCAGTCACAAGGCATTTCCTGGTAAAAGAGAAAGAGGAATTGAGCCAAAATGGGCAGATCTGTGGATTTGTAGAGTTTGCCGATGAATCCGAGGTTGGAAAATTCCAGCATGGCCCAGTTGGTTTTCTTAGCGTTCTGTTCTTTGATGTGTTGTCGGATATTGCTGAGGAAATGTTTGGCACAATAAACATCGTCTTCAAGCTGCAGGTAGAACTGTCCGAGCGAAGAGCAGAAGTGGATGAGGAAGGAGTAATCCACGTTTTGTTTCGATCGGAAACTGACGCGATCCGCAGCATCGTTGTAGTTTCGCTTTAGGCCTAGAATTTAAAACGAGAAATTGGTTAATCTCTTAGCAAAGAAGTAGTAAGTAAGTAAGCTTTATTTATATACCGCCTTTCACAGACCAGAGTCACAAAGCGGTTTACAATTGTTATTTTTGGGCACTTGTCCTCTCACTCCACACAGAGATGGGAGCGGGGTCGCCGAACAGGAGGCGCATGCCAGACCTATTGTACATATTTTTAGTGGTAGGGGAAACCGGAGTACCCGGAGGAAACCTACGCAGACACGGGGAGAACATGCAAACTCCACTCAGAAAGGCCCTGGTCCGGCCGGGATTCGAACCCAGGACCTTCTTGCTGAGAGGCGAGAGTGCTAGCCACTCAGCCACCATGCCGCCCTATTGTATTAAGAAATACAATAATAATAAACAATTATTAATGGGACAAATAAAATAAATATCTAGCGCCAAAAATATATTTTTGGTGTTGTAGAGCTACTAAATATTACTCACTCCCCAAGTCCATAATTACGGAAGCTTGTTAGGTTCACTTAAGAATGTTTTTTTTTTTTCCCCTGGTATCATGTTATTTCATGATACCAGTTTATCATGAAATAACATGATACTGTAGATACAGAAGAAGAAGCCGTCAGTTTCTTCTGATAAATTGGTATCATGAAATAACATGATAAGTTGTGTTTCATGAAATAACATGATAAGTTGTGTTTCATGAAATAACATAATATTTATCATGTTATTTCATGAAAGTATCATGAAATAACATGACACCAGCGGGAAAAAACACTCACAAGTGAACCTAACAAGCTTCCATACATAATTAATTATTATATTTATATTATTATTATATCTATTACTCTAGATGTATTTAAAACTTCTCTAAAAGCATTGGGTTCTTCAATACCAGATAATATAAGGTATAGAAGAACCTTATATTATCAGCAGCAGAAACAAATCCATCCTGGGCGGCACGGTGGCTGAGTGGATAGCACTCTTGCCTCTCAGCAAGAAGGTTGTGGGTTCGAATCCTGATTGGACCAGGGCCTTTCTGAGTGGAGTTTGCATGTTCTCTCCGTTTGTGGCACTAAAGCAGGCATGTCAAAGTCAAATACATCAGAGGGCCAAAAAAACAAATTTGCTGCGAGCCGAGGGCCGGACTGGTTCAATGTTTATTAACTCATTGCCTGCCAGCCTATTTCAGAACAGGTACTCCCATATTACCAGCAGTTTCTGATGATTTTTATAGATTTTTCAAGACCCACAGAATATTGTGAACTATGACTATCTGAAATCCGAAACCATATTCTGAGAGAATAGACTGTCTACTTTCATCAGCAAAAATAATTTTGTTTCTAGCTTGTAATCCTCAGTTGAGTAGAGGGAAGTTTTACTGAAATCACCAAAAAGCTGAGAAAAAAGAGGCACAACAAGTGCATCTAGCTGTTTTCAAACCATTCATAGAGCGCTGCTGCCACCTGCTGGCTCGATTCAATATGCTCTCAAGCTTATCCCCAAACATATTAGATATAATAGACATCTGGGAACATGAAAATAGCGGAAACCACAATTGACGTAATAGTGTGTCATGGGCCATGTAAAATTCATTCGCGGGCCGGATTTGGCCCGCGGGCCTTGACTTTGACACATGTGCACTAAAGTGTGGATTTAAAGAAAACCGAAGGATTTAAGAAGAAAATAAGTTCAGGATGACAAGGAACACTAAAATCCCCACAAAATCCGATATTTCTGAAAGCTGTAGGTTCTCTGTCAGCTGAGGTTGAGCTGTTTTAATTTACATTGAGTTTTATGGGGAAAATTTCTAGGTAGCCCACGTGAATTTAGTCTGGTTTAGTCTGCAGTGCCGCGAGAATCCCCAGAGCACATGGGTCCTTCAGCTCCAAGCTAGTAATACCCTATCCAGTTATTAAAATAGATCCATGGTTGGTATGCGCCCTTGCTGCAATTCATAATGTCTGCGCCCGTTTCCGGATTTCTTTTGCTTCTTTGTACCATCGTATATATTTGTTGGGTTCTTCTTTTTGAATCTCGTGTTGTCCTAGTACATAAGGTGGTTCTTGCGTTTGCAGTGGTCTGATATTGCCGATTTTAAGTTGTCCTCTTGCTTTATCAGCTGAACAGCAGCTGATAAAAGCAAGGCATGTGTGACGTCGCGAGACGCTTCTGCGGAAGACATAAGCATCCGTCGAAACATGTAAAGGTAATAGCATCACAAAACTTTATATTGTCTGGTATAGAAGAACCCAATACTTTTAATTCTATTAAGAAGACAAGATGAATCTTCCTAAACTATTAAAACTTCTCAGCTGAGAAAGTTTCACCGACCAACAGTATGAGTTAAACAAAGCATGAGCAGCAGAGCCACAAATGTGGACTTTCTTTTTCTCCTCTTTACACACACTTTTTCTTTTATTGAATGCGCTGGAAAACGGCTGCTGGTCCAGACCGGAGCGGAGAGGATTTATGGTTCGAACCAAGCGGATCAGGTGAAAATCCACTGAAGGAATGAGCACTTTTTGAAAAATGCTAATGAAGCAATTAGCATTTTACTTTGGACAAGAGCAGAGAAAATGCTCCAAATCAAGCGGCTACTCCACCTTGTGACTTGTCCTGCTCCACCCAGCGGTTACTCCACCTCTGCTGCTGTGACCCGTCCTGCTCCACCCCGAGGCTACTCCACCTCTCCTACTGTGACCCGTCCTGCTCCACCCAGAGGCTACTCCACCTCTGCTGCTGTGACCCGTCCTGCTCCACCCAGAGGCTACTCCACCTCTGCTGCTGTGACCCGTCCTGCTCCACCCAGAGGCTACTCCACCTCTGCTGCTGTGACCCGTCCTGCTCCACCCAGAGGCTACTCCACCTCTGCTGCTTTGACCCGTCCTGCTCCACCCAGAGGCTACTCCACCTCTTCTGCTGTGACCCGTCCTGCTCCACCCAGAGGCTACTCCACCTCTTCTGCTGTGATCTGAAGGGCTGTTTCTGATTATTACTATTTTTTACTTTTTAGAATGATCAATTAATTTTTTTATTTTTGCTGCTACTGGGACATTGTTGAAACATAACGCAGACGTTTTTGTAGAATTGACCAAGCCACTTCACTTAATTCTTGCACTAGAATATACAGTACCAGTATTTTATACTTTCTTCGTTATGATGGTATAGTTAGAAATATATTTTTATTAATTTTCTTAAATTATAGAGTCATTGCTCATTGATCTTGTGCTGCGTGCTCCTCATTCCTACTGTTCTGTAACTGTTGATGCAACACTGACATTTCCCCACTGTGGGATGAATGAAAGGATCGATTATAAATGCCATATGAATTCTCGTCATACCGGTGAGTGGGGGGTACTGCTCTTGTGGCACGTGAATTAGCAGGAGTTGTCCTTGCCGCAGTTCTTTGTAGAAGCTTGTTTGGAGTTCCTCTGTCACTAATTGTCTCCAGCTCCAGTCAAAGTCAGCAAGTAGCACCACCACCACCATCTGTGCCCGCTCCTCCTCTGAAGACTGAGAGAAAATGGACTGCAATGTTGATTTGAGGTACATCTCCTTCTTCCGCCGCACCGAGGACAACCCCACTACAAGGAATCCTAAAGACAAAGTTAATAACTGTTCAGAAATGCATAGATACTGGACATGGGAGGGGTGAAGAAATATATGTGGGTGTGGGCATTTGTCTGGAGAGGAAGGAGTCATTTCTGGAAGCAGAGCCACACTTTTTTGACAGGTTTAAATGGGAAAATCCATATATAACTGTTTGCGTCGTCGCATATACTAGGAGGAGAACTTTGATTCCTCTGGTTTAAAATCACATGAATTATTATTTAAGTCCAATGGATTCATAGACCCAGAAAACATGAGGTTAGACACCAAGATTACTTGTTATTAAGGACATCTAATACTACAAAAAACATCTGAGAAACCTTTTGTTAGAATTTTTTGGGGTTAGGTGTTTTTTTTTCATATATGCAGCCGCCTATATGTCTCATTTGGTCCAATCTAATTTGGACCACTGAGTGACAGATCAGGTCTGACAATAGTAGATCTTTTTTTCCCCATAAAAATAAATTGTTTTCACATATTAAGTTGTATTAGAAAAATATAAGATTTTTCACAATGCTCTAATTATCTATATACATAATTGTTCGGCTCCAGTCTTGCTCCAGTCCTTGCTCAAATACTGACTCTGCTGGGAAGGTGCAGACCCCATCAGGAGCTGGTAGGACACATTGAGAGGCAGGAGGCCACTTCCTATGCCCGGGGACAGGATATTCAGTGTCTGCTCTCGAAGCTTCAGCACTTCTCGGCCCTGAAAGCACACATGCATTTAACATGCTAGGATTATAAAGAACATCTGTTTTGTGACAGAATTTTTTTTAGATCATAATGAAAAATGTTTAGTTCAATATGTGATTATAAAAAAACACAGGTCTGTCACAGTTACACCTGACATGGTGGAACCTTCATGTTTCCATTCTTAAACTTCCCTTTCTTACTAAAGAAAGCAGCTCCTCTCCTCTTTCATATTGTTTTAAAATTATTAAAAAATCACTCATATCATTACAAAAACAAAGTGGATCTCCACTTGCCTAAACAGAAACAGTAATAATCAATATATATACTGTATATATATATAAATATATAAAGATATGCATATCACACACACCATTATCGCAATAACAATATTTTTTATCCTCTCCAAGCGCTCCAGAAGCCATTTTATCGGTGCCAGTTCGTAATCTGTGTTACCGTACGTTTAGTGGGCCTTTCGTAATCACTTGTTAGCTTTGTACTTACCTTTTTTTGTTCTGCCTCAGACCTCCGTTCCGCACCTCCTGCTCCCAGCCCAGCAGCGCCTATTCCCAGCACCTATCCCAGCTCGCCTGTGTTTTGAGTTTTCATATTTTTGTTCATTAAACTTTTTGTTACCCCTGTATTCTGGTTCCTTGTCCGACTCTAAACACCCAGGTCTGAAATACACGGCATATACAGTATAGGATTTCCACCACAGAAGTGCCTCAGCTATTTTATTGTCATTCCATCTTTTGCTTGGTTGCAATAGGAACTGCAAGGGAAATTGCTGCAAATAAAACCCCAAATTATGACAATGGTATTATTTGGGATTGCCAAAGTTACTTTACTGATAGCTGTAGTATTGTGGTTTACTGATCTATACAGTTATTTTAAAAATGGGTATGATGTGCAAGATTAAAAGACCCAATTATAATTATTGACGTCATTAGCTGCAGCAAGCTTTCCATCCTGACCTCAGCAAGGTTTTATCACCGTATTAGATCTCTTTGTGCAGAAAAGTCCTTTAGTGCCTGTTTAAATACTCACAGTGAAAAAAAAGCTCAGCTGTAAAGCAAAGAAGCATAAAAGGAGCCCAATCACTGCCAGAGTCCCTCTTCTCCACCCGCGAAGCATACTTCTGAGGACACAAAAAATTCCAACTATGCAGGTTCAGTTGTAAATACCATACAGGCTACATTCAATAAGTTATCATTATAGATCAGGGGTGTCAAATCTTTTTAGTCACCATTCTATTATTATGGGCTTTAAAATTGTGTTGATATATTCATATAACAGCAAAAAGATTCTGGGTTTGAATCCACCTCCAGGCATTTCTGTGTGGAGTTTGCATGTTTGTCTGCATAGGTTTCCTCTGGGTGCTCCCGTTTTCCCTACCACTAAAAACATGTAGTAATAAATGTGATGAAAGAGTGAATGGAGTGATGACCAGTGCCGTGAGATGATTTGAACATCTCAGGTGGCACTGTTCAATCCATTATCCGGAAATGAAAAGAAAGGCAACCAAGTGAACCAAGATGACTCTGGAGGAGCTGCAAACTACTGCCGCTGAGCTGGTTCGGGCGAGCTGCCGGCCATTCCCTGGCTGATCCTCCTGCAGGTGGTGAGTCCAAGGAATGATGACATTGCTTGTCATCCGTCAGCAATGACACAGCCTCAATCTTTCAGTGGGGACTTTGGGCAAAATGGGGTTAAGTGTCTTGCCCAAGAACACAAAAAAGCAGGTACAGGAAAGATTGTAAGAACAGCTGTGAATACAGATGGATTAAGCCAAATACAGGGACATTTTAGAGGAAACCTTGAGGCTTGGGCAAAGATTCACCTTCCAGCAGGACAATGACCCTAAACACAAAGCTGAATATATTTAGGGCTGGGACAACGCGTCAACATAATCGGTGACGTTGACGCAAAAAATACGTTGACGCAAAATATGAGCGTTGATTTGTCAGACTCAAAACAAAGATGGCAACGCGAGTGCCGTCTTATGGGGCGTTCAGACCGCCTACACTGGAACGCAGTTTCCATGCGCAGTAGACGCACATTCTTTAAATTTCAGACGCTATGGGTGTTCAGACCAAAACTCCTTGGCTGGGGTGGCGCCCGGCGGAAGAAGCGGAAGTGCTTTGATGCTAACGGAGTTAAGCTAGCGGCTTTTTGTGTAAAGTTCTTCTCCAAGAGGGCAGCTCTGCAGCGTTTCTGTGTCCAGAGACCTTCCAGAGACTTTATAACAGCAGTATGTGTTCACGGAGGTGCGCCATATGTTTATTTCATTAATAGACGGTACTTCCGCATCGGCGAACATGCTAGCGGCACTAGTTTACAGTCACAGGAGAATGAAAACTCTATTTAAAAAAAAATATATATTCGAATTATATACGAGGGCAATGATTGACAGCCCTTGCCCTTGGAATCACTTGATTGGTTAAAGGACTCCCCCACAAATCCACTTTGTTTTAGCTGATAATGGTATAAATGAGTGTCCAATAGTGTTGTCTACATATCCTGGTCATAATTTTGTTACTTTAGTGCAAATTAGTTGAAAGATCAACTTTCTGCCTGAAACCGTCAGTGAGGAACCATCTGCAGGCGGCCTGTATTTACTACATTTAACTTTTGAATCTGGCGGCACTATTGGCGCTGTCATGAAGGCTGACGTCTGCAGTGAAGGCTGACGTCTGCAGTGAAGGCTGACGTCTGCAGTGAAGGCTGACGTCTGCAGTGAAGGCTGACGTCTGCAGTGAAGGCTGACGTCTGCAGTGAAGGCTGACGTCTGCAGTGAAGGCTGACGTCTGCAGTGAAGGCTGACGTCTGCAGTGAAGGCTGACGTCAGTTGCCCTGCCGCTCTGTGGTATATAAGCGACCCAATCTCGTTCACGCCCCCGTAGCGAGTTGGAGAAGGAATAGCAGAGAGTATTTTCATGGATTTGCGATTGTCAGGTTTGGGATTAGTTATAGAATTCAGGTAGATTTTTAGTAGCATAGCTGTTTGTATTATAGATAATTGTGTAGTGTTAATAGTGTTGTTGTTGAATATTGTAGTTTTAGTCATTAGTTGTTTTTATTGTTAATTAGTTAGCTCAATTTAGCTTAGGACTTTTGTTAGTATTACTTTTTAGTGTTCTATATCGTGTGCAATCTCATTTTATATTGTTTATTGTACTTGTGTGTTAGGATGGGGAGGAAGTGTAGTGTAGTGGGGTGCCGCAGTTCTGTAGGTTTGCATTGGTTTCCTCAGAACTTTGAAATTAGGCGCCAGTGGCTGTGCGCAATTTGTTTGGGAGAAGACCGCAAATTCCCTCCTCAGGCTGGAGTTTGCAAACTACATTTTGTGCGAGAATCCTTTGCCAACTTAATGGAGGTTAGAATTAAACAGGCCCCTGCTGCCTCCGATGCCTCCGCAACATCGGCTCCCCCGGTGACGCTAGCTAGCTCGCCCGGCTCAAATTGATAGAGCTGAGGGCCTCCTCTCTCTCAACCTCCGGCCCATTTGGAGGGAGATTTGAACTTTAGTTTAGATTACACTTTTGGTTTTGTCAATTGCTTTAATAGGTTATTTATTTACTTTGTGTGTTATGTAGATATTTAATCCTAATTTGTTTTACCTATTTTGTCATCTAGATAAATTATGATTTTAGTTACCATCTTGGTTATTTTGTTACTTCCTCACACCTAGCTGAGCCGGGTCGTAACAGAAATGGGCGAGCCCCCATTTCTGTTCTATCTACATAACACACAAAGTAAATAAATAATAAATAATAAAAAAATATATTTTTTTTTGCCTGTGTGCCATTCCAAGAGACAACTGTTAGCATGTTCAGTGTATGCATGTGTGTTTGTCAGGTATACATCCATCCATCAATTTTCTTCCCCTTAATCCATTTCTGGGTCGGAGGGGTGGCAGTCAGAGCTGCACACAGTTCACAGAGCACCAGCCCCTCACTGATCCTCTTGCAGGTGGTGACCCCACAGGAGCTGAGATCTTTCAGCAGGGGCTTTGGGCAAAGTGGAGTTAAGTGTCTTGCTCAAGGACACAACGACAGCAGTCATCAGTGGGAGTCGTGAAGTAGGTCTCGAGGTGGATTCGAACCTACGACCTTCAGGCCCAAAGGCCGATGCTCTACCAACTGAGCTCCTGTCGCCCTAATTCCGGAAAATTCCGGACAGTGCATTATTGATGACCAGGTTTAGGTGCTATGTGACTGTTTGTATAATTGTATTGCATGGGGGGGGGGGCTGGGTCATCAGTAAAACCATGGGGTTATCTGTGCGTTACAAAAAAGTATAATTTGTCCGTTATGATTACTGCTGTTCTTCTTTCTTGGATATTGGTCTTGCATATTGGGTAGAGTTTTTGCCGACGTTGTGAGATTTCTTTGGGGTACTGGTCGTTCAAGCAATAATTTATTCCTTTCAGCTGTCTTCCTTGGCTCTGTACTGCTTGTTTTTGTTTGTAATGTTCGAATCATGATTGGTCGGGGGCGCTTATTGTCTGTAGTTGTATTTTTTTGAGCCCAAACAATGCACAGAGTAGAACGTAATGGAGTTACATTCCAGTTTGTTGGCGTCTTCAGACGGTTGTTCCGGTATGCCAGTGAAGATGAGGGCATCCCTCATGTAAGTCTAGAATGGTTTCTTTCATGGTTTTATTTTCAGAGGTTATACTGTCCATCTGGGTGCTAATTACAGATACAGATACTTTCAGTGATTTGTTTTCCATGATGAGGGTTTCAATGTGCTCCTGGCTTAAAGGGCTATATGCATGGGGAGGCGTGACATCATTTCCACACCACAATGCCATGCTATCGTTATGGCATTGTGGTGATTTGAAGTGACGTTTTTTAGTAATTAGATTGATACATTTAGCTGTGAGATTGACCCAAAAGTGTTGACATGCTTTCTCTCTGAGGAATAACTTTGACTGAGGCCACTCAGAGAGATTAGTTAACTTTTTAAATTCACAATCAAAGAGCACTGCCGTGTCCCAAAAATGCCCAGCATCCTCACAGTTTAATTCCTATTTGGGCATTATTAAGGAAACTCTTATAAACATCTGCTGAACTGTTGAAGGGAAACTCAAGCCGATCCCCGCGCACTGGAAGTCAAGTGCCATTATAACTAAAACGCGGAAGTGGTGCGTGCATAGAGCCCATTCCAGGCTGTGGCTAAGGGCGGAGAGTTCTTTATGCAGTGTTTCAATGAGTGCGAAACGAGTGTCCATATTTATACTATTTGTTTGAGTTCGATTGAGCTGAGTATGACGGCTATGAGGCAGCATGAAGAAATGGTGGGATGTCTGTGGGATTGGTACATGGTCTGGAGATGAGCTTATGCAAAGCCTCTTTTTGACATATACAGGAGTGGAGTTGTCAACGCTTGTGTTTGTATCCATGACGACGCGGGTGAATAAGTTGTCGAAGTAGGTTACTGTTTGAGAGATTCCACGGAATCCAGGGTTGGGTGAGTTGAGTGGCGATGGTAGGGTGATCCAAAAGAGATCACCCTCGAATTCCTCACAGCAGCATTTCCCACAGCAAATGTGATCTTTTTAAGAATATTTACCTCCACCATGCAAAGAGTTTGGGAATTTTTGGGTTTCATTAAACTGGCCTGTAGGGGGCGAATGAACAGAGATGGAATAACTCAGTTTTGCTCCCATTGAAAACCATGTAAATCTTGTCTGTTTTGGAGTCAAAAGGCTCTCCTCCTGTGCGGTGTACGGTTGTTGTAACAGTCTTAATCAGGAGGGGTACCCCCTCAATTAAAGTGATTGTCTGCAGTTTGTCAGAAAGAGAGAGAGAGGTACTTGATTTGAAAAAACGACGCAAGCTCCCTCCGCCTTCCTTTCTGATTGGTCTACACCTACGTTTCCGTAACACATTTAAATGTTAATGGGAGAACCTATTATACATATACATTATTAATACACATGCACGCAAGTTTTCAGAATGATTTGTTAACGTTTTCATGAAAAAAATAGTGTTTGAATGTACAAAAAAGCGATCGTGGCAAACCCTTAAGTAGCTATTAACGTTGATTGCACATTATAGGACACATCTGCAGAGGATCTGATTATGGATGTTCAGAATTCTTTGCTCAGTTTTCATGTAGTTCCAGAG